AAACTCGTTCGACACGACAATATCTATGTCATGAAAAGAAAATTAAAATTGATCGACTATATAAAAATATTTTTATGCATATTAATAGAAAAATTGACGAACACGTTAAATTTGAGATCGTTTATAATGTACAAGCTTCATTACAGTATTGTGATAATGATTCTTATTGCCTTCAAAATTTTTTTAGTAATATATTTAACAAGTGAATGTCCAATGTGTGAGTGTTTATTTATATTTAAAAAAATTTACATTAATGTACCATTTGATCTTCCATCGCTTTCGCTATCCATTCTGGTTCAGTCTGAGCGATTTTTTCTATTATTTGGTTCACTTGATAGCAAAGAGACTGTATTTGTTTATCCCATGTTGGTAAAGTTTCACGTGCTGCATAAAAAAATAAATTAGTACTAAAAATCATTATTATTTTTTAAAGTATTTGTTTGTACTTTCATATCCGTTTAAACATACTCTCAAAATGTACGATAGAATCAATTTGATCAATATATCCATTCATCCGTCCTTCTGTAATCATTTGGCTAGCAATTTTCTCTGCCTTTGTAGGTGGGATTTCCAACAAAGCACCCAATTCCTCAAATGTTATATTATTATATAATTTACTAGCAGATAATAAGTTATGTTCTATAACGGCCCGGTCAAGTATTGTTGATCCTAATCCATCGATTGTACATGCTTTTTGGTGAGGTTGTAATAAGGCTTCAAATTCTTGTAATTCAGATCGTCGAATGATGCGATCCAAGTACATCTTTTCAAGAATTGAGTAAGCAGGAAGTTGTTGACAACGTTCATCTTTAAACAAGGTAGCCAACATACGGCTTCTTTGTTGTCCTAATTTCGAAATTATGTTTCATTATTCATTTATATTTAAAATATATATATAACAAACTAATATAACTACCTGCAGAAGCTAGTACTGTACAAATTAATGCATTTCTAAGTGCAGTCATTCGTTCGTCTTCAGGTATAATAATTCTATATGATAATTCATTATATCTTTGAGCTGCTTCAATAAACTTTCTTCTGTAATCTAATACTCTAGCATAACAAAATTTGTAGTAAATTTGCAACCGCTCATTTTTGGATTCAGCCTGAAGAAAGCAAAAAATGAATTGTTTTTAGAGAACTGACATGAAATATAATGATCAGAATCTTTAACTGGTTGGTACATACTTGTAAAAGAGATGCTCTGTTTATAAATGCTTCAGCTTGTACCGGATCATCATCCTCCAGATATAGTCGTGCAATTTTAAGATAAGTTTCAAGTTTGTAGTCAACTGTGTATTGCCTATAGACAGTTGTTACGATTACATGTGGGAACATACAACCGACCAGCTACTAATTTAATAAATTGATGCTATTAGTACTTACTTTTGCCCTGTCTCTAGCGGTATTCCAACTAAAACATTAGCTGCTTCTCTCCAGTTTTGATTGCGTTCATAAATACTTGCTAGGTGTTGTCTTATGCTAGCAACTTGTTCTTCAAAAGAGATGACGCGTGGTTGAATCTCAACAATTAAAATATTTTATTATAGTTTGTACTATAAATTATGTTATTAAGTCTAAATATTCAGAAAAAATATCTTACTTTTTCCAATGTGTAATGTGAAACAGCCTTTGATATTTCATCGGGTAAACATAACAAACGGTTACTAACATCTGTTAAAATTTGTCTTGAAATGACCAAACTGACATATTCGTTGACTACTGCAAAATAAAAGAATGTATTTTCACATTGATAACATAGCATAAAATATATATTTAAATTGCAGGAATAATGTTATGCTAGAAAAATACATTTATTATGACAATACTACCAGATATACACTGCATACTCAAAACGTAACTGTATATGTAAAATAAGTATTTATACATTTGTGATATATATAATATAAGTTTTTGTACATTAGCATCTTTATACTACTATGGTTAATGTATCTGCATACATTCGTTGTAAGCAAAAATATTTCTAAAAAGAAGAATAACATACTTGCTTCAATAAATATCTTTAAAGCATCAACTAGTTCTTCGCCGGACGATAATATTATTGAATCCAAAATCGCTCGATACCTGTAAGTATCATTGTTTATACCGGACATTCGGAAAAATATAGCTTTAATCCTATTTTCTAGCTTTACCTTTCCGCTTGATCTTTATGAGAGCCACCAGAATACGCTAAATTCGTGAGTTGTTGACGTACAGCAGCTGCCGTCGCCACCATCTTTTCTACATGAATAACCCAAGACTACTTTTGCATATACTATAATCATGAACTATGTATCAAAACTGAACGTACATGTACATAGCGAAAATGATTTCGAAAATGTCGATACGATGACAATCAGAATTAGAATTTTATATGAATTTCTTTCTAAATAAAATTAATTGAGTCTTATTTTTAAACAGATGTACATGTAAACAAATTTAAATATTACGTACAATTTGTATAAGTCACATTCGTTTACATAGATAAATAAGATTATAATATCATAGAATTAGCATTTAAGCATTAACTTTTTTAGATAAAATAAAAACAGCACTTTATCTAAAAACCTTGAAATTTATTGTTGACGAAGTGCATGTGTATAATACTTTGATTAAACCTATACACGTAATGAATGCTATTATTTTACAAGTTGTAAAAATGACTATTATATGTAGAAAAGTTACTCCTTTTAAGTTCAAAATGTTAACGAACCTAATTTACACTATTAACTGTTGTAAATATTTTTATTTTACCTCATCGTAATGTTATTCATCGCAAAATCAAATCAATCATTCAA